GCGGCCCGACCGCCCTAGCGGACTTGGTACCACAACGTAATTCAGGTCAGCCCCCTCTGAATATCAGTTCAGCCTGAATTTCAGGTCAATTTTTAAAAAATTCTCCCAACACGCTGTAGTAACCAACCGCTAAGCACCGCCGCATTCAAGAGTACAATGAATTTGAAATATGACAACGGATAACAACACCACAAAATATGACAAATATATATGTAATATGACATCAAAATACAATAGATCACTGATCAAACTACAATAGTACTGATCAAACTACAATAGTGCTGATCAAACTACAATAGTGCTGATCAAACTACAAAACCGAAAACAGTACAAATACAACAAAGTACAATAGAAGTACAATAGAATAGAGCAAAGTACACCGTGACCAAAATCTGAAAATATCGATGATTCGATTAGAAAACAATAATAAATGAATGCGAAAAATTTCTGGACTTCATCAAAATCAACTCAATTCCAAACCAACACTTCAGCCAATTCTGATCACTGATCGATCACCAATTGATCGATCAATCGATCAATCGATCAGTCGATTGATCAGTCGATCGATCACCTAGTGTTGCTGTTCATCAGACTGAAATGCTCAAAAAGCTTCTCATGTAAGTCCACATCGAAGCCCAACACCAGAGTACGTGACCTGAACTCGCCGTAAACTGAATTCACCCCGATCAACTCATCGTTCACCGATAGCGGTATCACAACGTGCAAATTTTTTCGGACAATCTCCTGAAATTCACAATTTCAGGTCATCAGCTAATTTCAGGTCGATTTTTTTTCGCAGGTCAATTTCAGGTCTTTAACAAAAAATTTAAAATTTAAAAATTACTTGTGCTCTGGTAGCTCAATAAGTGATCTATTGAGGTACCAATCAATCAATACCTCAAATGAATTTTGCAGCTCAATAGTTCAGCAGTTCAATGGCTGATAACAAGTCGAATTCAGGTGGAATTTTTTCGCGGGTTAATTTCAGGTCGCTCATAAAAAATTTAAAAAATTAAAAAATTCCTTGTTGTGGTACCTCAATCAGCGATTTCCGTTCCTCTAAAAATTGCGGCAAATTCATCGCGAAATCGTTCATCGAATCCACGTAGGCCATCGCCGAGGTTACCTCCAGATGTGTGATGCTGATTGTGGTGTTGATACGCAACTGCTGATGCTCCTTAAAGTTCTGATTTTTGTGGTATTATACTGAATTTTTTCATTTTCCCGACATAAACCAACGAGAGAGCATGAGAATTTGAGAGAATTATAGATAGAAATCGCGCATTCCAATTGCTCGAATGCCGGCAACCCCAACACCCTCTCAATTACCTATTCGACGCCGCATTCCGTTCAGAACCCTTTTCGGAGGAACATTCCCAAACGTTTGAGATGGAAAATTTTGGCAAAATTTTCAAAATTTTCAGAATTTTTCAGGTTTTTTGAAAAATTTTCAAAATTTTTTGGAAAATTTTCAGATTTTCCAACTTTTTTCTAACATATTAAGCAACTTACATGTTTCGGTGATACATTCCGTATGGATAAATGTTTCGCATAAAGTTGCAGCTTCACATTGACTGTCATTAGGACGGCTTTGACTTGTTCGTCCTCGTCTGCCTCCTTATAGGATAGATCCACGCTGAGATTCAAGCCTATGTGAGCACCGACATCATTTAACACCACTACTGGTGGTGACCTTACACGTGCCTCCAGTCGTCCTGAAACCAGAAAATTACCGGAAATTACCGAAAATTACCGGAAATTACCGAAAATTACCGGAAATTACCGAAAATTACCAAAAAAACCCGACTAAAATTGACCAATTACGAAGAAATTACCATCAGTTACCAAGAAATTACCACCAATTACCAAGAAATTACCAATCAGTTAATTAGTTAATTAGTTAATTAATTAATTAATACCTTTTCCGTCAGTGTATTGCTCAGGATTAGCGAGTATCGAGCCAAGACAGCTACGTGCTTGAGCTCCTTCGGCAGCAGCACCACCACCGTTGGTCTGATCGCAGTTCAAGCTCAGCATCTGCTTGACCTCAGGTATCGCATGCAGATTGATCCGAAAGTTACCCAATCGATCCAATTGATAGAAAAATGAATTGATCACATAATCGGAAACGTACACGTAGATCATCCGATCGGTATCTGCATCGGATTTCTGAAAGTTTTTCCCGGATAGGTAAGTTTTTACAGGATTCATTTTACCCGAAGCCCGGGCAAATGCTTTGCCCGAACTCTTGGGAAGCGGTAAATTTGCCGCAGCTGTGATCAGGCTAGTAGAATTTGATCTAGATTAGATCAAGCATTGGTCAAAATTAGGTGAATTTCGATATTGCCCAGTTAATCTGATCAAATTTTCAGTTGGAACTCCCGCGGAATCGACTAGAATGCGCGTTAGCGCATCCTGAAATTGCCTGGTACTTCCTGAAATTAATTTTTTGCGTGGTACTTACCGAAATTGGTGACGGAAAGAAGGGCGTACGCACCGGATCATCCGGCGCAATGAAATCCCCCTTTAGCGGCAGATCAAGGAAACCATTCGAGAGCGCCACCTCGTCGCTGAGTGTCGTGTCCAATATCAACTGGCTTGTGATAGACTTCTGCTGAAATTACAATTTTTTTCGATTCCAATGAATTTTCCCGGGGAATGAATTTTCCCGCGGAATTTCCCGGGGAATTCAAATTTTGCGCTGCAAAATTTTCGTAACACTCACAAATGTTTAAATGGCTTGTGATTAGTCCTGATATTGTTGAATCAAATGGCTTGTAATAGATTTCTGATTTTCAACTGATTTTGATCAACTGATCAACTGATCAACTGATCAACTGATCAACTGATCAACTGGATTTTCAAATTCCGCCATCGGAAATTCCGTCGGATTTCGCTAATTTTTCGCTAAATTTAAATTTGCGCCGCAAAATTTTCATAACATTCACAAATGTTTAAATCATAAAAAGTAATTTTTGACTGTAAATTACTGCTTTACTATAATACCTCAACGGTAACAGGTGAGTACTGTGCCAGACTCTTCAATCGAGCATCGATTTTCCGCACATAGATATCGATCACCTCGCAGATCTTCGTCTGGATCGATTCCGCCAACGTATCGGTCAAGCCCTGATTGATCTGCTCGTGGAGTTTTGGACTCAATCTAGCCACCATCGACCGGATCACCGCATCGCAACTCATATCGACTAACTGAAATTTGAATTTTAAATTTTAAATTTTAAATTTTAAATTTTTGATTTATTTATTTTTTTGCGCAGAAATTCCCACTCTACGAGGAGATATAGCTGGAATTTTGTGATGCTATACGGGTTGGCACACATTCAAGCTTACAGTACCCTCAGCTTTGATCAGTAACCTATCAATTTGATCACACCAATCGATTGATCAGAATCTCTGCATTCAGAAAAATATATATTTTGTTGGGTGATTTCGCTTAGTTGAGGAGATATAGCTAATTAATTAAAGCCAGCTCAACTGGCGCTCAGGTGCTCAGTGATATGCATTTGATCACTACAGATCAATGCGTATTACAAATTACTATAGAAATATGGGTTTGATAGATTCAAGCCTAGCGTCTTCTCAGGTTTGCCCATGAATTTGCCCATGGGAATTTCTTTTCACCTTTGGATCCAGCAGAACCTCTAGATTCAGAATATGAAAAATTTTCGGGGAAATTTGACTTATTCGGGGAGATACGGGCATTTTATTAATGATATCTCGAGTACCACCACCTTCAAGGCTACCGTCTTCTCAGGTTTACCCATGAATT